ATAGACAGAGAAACAGATAGACACATACACATATAGATAAACAGAGAGACAGATAGGATATATAAACAGATAGATAAAAATATAGATAAACTGACATGCAGAAAGATATACAGATGGATAGGTAGATAGCTAGACAGATAGCTAGACATATAGCTAGACATATAGCTAGACAGATAGCTAGACAGATAGCTAAACAGATAGACAGATAGATAAACATATTCTCAAATGAACACTTCTGGAACATATTCTCAAATGAACACTTCTGGGATCTCGAAAATTATGAATGAATTTTTATTGTCAATTGAAACATTAATCAATCTAATATTATTTAGAATGCAGAAAATAAGTTAAACTAACTTCATTTTGACGAGAATTTTTGTTGAAATTTTCATGAAAAATTTGCTGAAATGAGTGAAAATTAAAAAAAACCGGTGTATTTCCAGGATACAAATCCGTACAACCCGTACATTTAGAAAAAAACTTACAATCCGTACATTCCGTACAATTTTAGTGTTACAAAATAAAAATCCGTACAATCCGTACATTTTGGCCACCCTGAAGTTATCAATAGAAGTAATAACGTTCATCTGTCATAAATGAAATATATAAGTGTATACTGTACACGACACTGTACCCTGTACAGCGCACTGTACTGTGTACATACCTCTTGTTTCTTCTTGCTCATACTGTACTTCTCCCGATCAATAAGGTCGAAATTATAATCAATTTTAGGTCCCGGCTGTATTCTTTCATCCCTAATAATAAAGATGATGACGACAACGATAACGATAACGACAACGACAACGACAAGAACAAGGAGAAGAACAAGGTCAAGGAGAAGAACAAGGTCAAGGAAAATTGAAAATTGTAAAAAACTGACAGTAAAAATAACAATGGGAGTAACAGGCTAACAGCTATACTGAAAGTGATGATGACCGAAACTATAACAATGACAACAAAAATGGTATTTACATGGATAATTGTATAAAGAATCAACCACTATTCTCTGAAAATTAAGAAATTTTCAAAAATAAGAGAAAAAATCAAAAATCAATGTTATTTGTAAATAATTAAAATATTGAATGAATACTGTGAGCTGAATACCTGTAAAGAGAAGGTTTCAACTGAAAATGTTCAGATCTAGAAGGTTCTGGTTCCAAACCAAACTTTAAATCCCTGAATTAAAGTCTCTTGACATTTCAGTTTGCAAAATTCATATTATGTACTGTTCATAGAGTAATTTTTAGGACAGAGTATGTTTCTTATACGAACAAGTAAGTCATTGTGACGCATAATAGTGTTCACAAGAAACTTACTAAAGTGCTAATTTTTATGAAATAGTTCCAAGATTCATCATGCGTCGTTTTCACACTTGAACTGAAAACATTAATTGACATTCTTCTTCGTTCGAATTTGATTAAAATCAAAATGTGTAATATATTGTAAATGCAATATTGCGGTAAAATTGTTAACTCTAAAATTAATATTGAATGATTTTCTAGAGATTTTGTGTCAGGTGTAATACTAATTGTTTGCACTAAGATACTATTTATAGCATAACATATGATCTAAGATACTATTTTAAGAGTCACTGTCTAAATAATGTTCTGTAGCACTTTTTGGGTTTAAAGGGGATGACTTGCTAAACATGGCATAGAAAAACGGTTTATAGATCAGATTCCTGAACAGGGTGTTGTAGAGACATTTTTACGGCGTACAATTTTTAAATAAGAGCGTAAAGTTGTTTTTAATATTTCACTAGTTGTTTCAGTCCGTAGAAGAAACTTCTTTAACAATTCTTGAAAAAATATCAGGTCATGACAAAAAACCTAACAAGGAAAAATTGAGCTTGCAGAATGAGCCCTGTAAGGTTCAGGAGCTAAAGAGCCAACTGCCAGGTAGGCCGTTTAATCTACATTTTCACATCACATTTTCCATGTCAACCTGTTATTGCAAGAGATATTACAAATTCCACGTAAAGTAGTAAAGTCCTTTTAAAAAAATATCCCCACCTGGATACTAAATTTACCACTTCCCCTAGCGCAATCTTCTTCTCTACTAGGAACCTGCCTTCTTTATCCCCAAATGATATTCTGAAATCATATGAAGTGGTAGAATCTTATCTCCAATACTATTTTTCGTAGTACTAGTAGATAAACAATCATCCCAGGAAATAGAGTTCGACGCTCCTTGCCACCGAAATGATATCCAGAAATCATATTAAATGGAAAAGAAATTATATATCTTTTTCCCCAAATGATATCCTGAAATCTAACAATTATTAAGTAGTGAAGCTTATACATCTTTATCCCCAAATGATATTACAATTGAATATTGAATTGATCATGAAGAGAATTTTTATGAAGTACCTGGCAATCTCGTTGGTTGCAAAAATAACAATTTCAGCTCCTAGCTCTCTTGCCAATTCAGTTAATTCATCCATCCTTAATTTTAATCATATTACCGTTTTTACGAAATTAATATATCTTTTACAATATATCATCACAAAAACTTGGCTAATCTATCTACATTAAATATTTTAAAATCATTTCTTTCTTTTTGGATACAGATTATAAAAACCCCATGAAAATCTGAATAAGGGACAAATTAAGTAGTTAAACTATAATAAATTACAGTTCTCGGGGTTGGGAATGGAGAGAATTAAAAATTAACATTCTAATAATACGAAGAACTAACAAGTGGCACGGATTATGTTACAGAGAAGCGGCATTTATTTTGCTGAGAAATAATCAATTTACAATACCTGGTGGATACGGACAGAACAGTTTTTATTCCACATTTCCAGAATTCAGAGCAAATATGAGCTCGTTCCTGTTCATCCCCGGCCACTAAAACCTTTAATACGTTACATTACTAAGACGCCTCTGTTCATCATCAGCCTTTAAACTAATAAAACAACCCATTAATGAAACGTTTCTGTAATCACTGGACACTAAAACCTTTAAAACATCCCATTAATGAAATGTTTCTGTACATCACCGGACACTAAAACCTTTAAAACATCCCATTAATGAAATGTTTCTGTACATCACCGGACACTAAAACCTTTAAAACGTCCCAATAATGAAACGTTTCTGTCCATCATCAGCCGCTAATACCTTTAAAACGCCCCATTAATCAAATGTTTCTGTACATCACAGGACACTAAAACCTTTAAAACGTCCCATTAATGAAACGTTTCTGTACATCACCGGACACTAAAACCTTTAAAACATCCCATTAAAAAAATGTTTCTGTACATCACCGGACACTAAAATCTTTAAAACGTCCCATTAATAAAATGTTTCTGTCCATCACCGGACACAAAAACCTTTAAAACGTCCCATCAATAAAATGTTTCTGTCCATCACCGGACACAAAAACCAATAAAACAACCCATTAATGAAACGTTTCTGTACATCACCGGACACTAAAACCTTTAAAACATCCCATTAATGAAATGTTTCTGTACATCACCGGACACTAAAACCTTTAAAACGTCCCATTAATGAAACGTTTCTGTACATCACCGGACACTAAAACCAATAAAACAACCATTAATCAAATGTTTCTGTACATCACAGGACACTAAAACCTTTAAAACGTCCCATTAATGAAACGTTTCTGTACATCACCGGACACTAAAACCAATAAAACAACCCATTAATGAAACGTTTCCGTACATCACCGGACACTAAAACCTTTAAAACATCCCATTAATAAAATGTTTCTGTTCATCACCGGACACTAAAACCTTTAAAACGTCCCATTAATAAAATGTTTCTGTACATCACCGGACACTAAAACCTTTAAAATGTCCCATTAATAAAATATTTCTGTACATCACCGGACACTAAAACCTTTAAAACGTCCCAATAAAAAAAACGTTTCTGTTCATCGTACGACCGTGCAAATAAATCTAAATAAAACTCAAAGGTTCGTTCTACTTATTCGGTAGCAGGAAAATAAAATTGCAAACAGCTCTCTGATCTTGATTTGGTACGCCATCACGATCTCTTTCAGATCAAGTCTTTCAGCATGACATAGTTTAAGCCTAAATTAGAGCCATGATACCAGTCCGATCTCATTCAGTTATCAAATACTTAAGGCATATAATTCAAATTAAAAAGTGGGTTTCCTTCATAGCTATACGTTTATGACTAACATTCAAATTTTTATCCCGTTTTGCAATGCGTAATATTTAAATTTTATCCTGTTTTGCGATGCATAATGTCTAAACTTTATCCTGTTTTGCGATGCATAATGTATAAATTTTATCCTGTTTTGCGATGCATAATGTCTAAATTTTATTCGTTTTGCGATGCACAATGTCTAGATTTTATCCTGTTTTGCGATGCGTAATGTCTAAGTTTTATCCTGTTTTGCGATGCATGTTGTTATCTGTTTAATTTTTATATTTCATTATCTGGAACAAATCAAATGCTTCTCCCCTAACTTTAAATAAAGATAAAACAATAAAAAAAATACCTGACAAACTGTTTGGCTGAATGTTTGCTGTTTACTCAATGCTGAGACAAGTCTATCCACAGATAATGAGAATCCAGTAGCACACAGCTCATCCTCCTGATCAAACCAATATTCAAAATTAACTTAAAACTTTATCTGTCATAGAAAAATTATATCTTACACATTTTGTGCCCTCAACATTACTATCTCTGTTAGCCTGCTACATCCATACTTTCTTACATTTCCATAATTTCTGTGTTATTGACTCATTGCCATTTCTTGTTTCTTCACTATTTCATTGACTGACTATCTCACAAGAAACAATCGGACTGTCTCACTGTATATGTCGAAAAAATAGAGATATATTGATTGCAGAAAATGTCACAAAAATGATCTCCCAGCGAAAAACATTCCAGTAATCCAGTAATCCAGAAATCCAGTAACGCAATGTGACTATAATGAATATCAAACTGTCTGACTATTTTAAAAAACTAAATTGTGTGACTATCATACTGTCAAACTGTATATTTCTATTTCTAAGATCCCAAGGAATTAAATATTTTGGTTTCCTGAACGATGTTTTCTCCTTCTTCTCTTAAACTTCCAACTTCAAGATATTCTCTAAATATTTAATAGTTTTAACCAATTAACAAAACAGCATCTAGATAATTAAGACTATGCCTAGCTTCTTGATTTTATTTGATTAGAAACAGAACCAATGAATGGGTGATAATGCTAGTGGATGAAATGATGAATAATAGAATAACCAACTATATCTGAATCCATGTACAAATGAATTACTAAAAAGAAAAATAAGTAGATGAATCAAAGAAAGAATGAATGAGTTGGTAAATGAATATTGAATAAAGGCATAAATAAAAATTAAATCACATCTATTTACAAATAAATTAGTCACAAGTAGGTGAACAAATGAAAAAAAAAATTGAAAAATAAATATAAATTTAAATGACTAAATAAATCTGTATCAATAACAAAAATGAATTATATATTATCCCCCCATAGTGGAATAAATGAATTATTAAATAATTATTGAAAATATTTCTACGAACAAATGAATCATCAAATCCCTCTAGAGAAGAATAAATGAATGATTAATGAACCTATTTCTTTGAATGAATAAATGAACCTGTATCTATGAACTAATGAGTTATATCTCCCTCCTGCTGCTACAATATCCATGGAACGTGTAGTTTTGCTCGGTATTACTCTAAACAACAAAACTAAAATCATATTAAAATAATTGAATTTAAAAACGCAAAATCAATATAACTATATAAGTCATATATTTACAGATTTCCAGTAGCGTGCCCAATTTTTCAGTCCGACTTTCCACTAATAACTCTTAGGCTAATATTGTTCTCTTCATGTCAGTTATCACAACAATCATATATCATTTCTTCTTAATTGTCTTAAAAGATTAAATACCTTGAAATTTTTTTTCAAAAATTAACCGAGTTAGACCAAAAAAAAACATGTAAAAATGCTAGTTTTTAAGAAAAGTACATTTTTTGGAGGTTAAAAATATATATCCTGTGAAAACTGACACCATAGAGAACAATATTAGCCTGAGAGTTATTTTTGAGACAATATTTCTATATTTTGTTGCAAAATGGGGCACCCTAATTTCCAGGTTATCTGGAATACAAGTTTTAAGAGATGATAAATTGCATGGGGCACCCTAATTTCCAGGTTATCAGGAATACAAGTTGATGATAAAATGCATGCAATCATGAAGGGGATGTAATTAAAAGCAAAAACTAGTAAGCTCATCTTAGAACAGGATCTGGACCTTTCTTGACCATCTGTTTTACTAATTTCTTCTTTCACATTCACCTTTAAGATCCCTTTTTAACCACAAACCCTTTGTTAAAATATCCCACACTAAATTAGTTTATATTCTATTGTAGGTTAACCTGATGAGTTGAAGCACCATACCAGAGTAAAGACAGGGAGGATATAAACTCTTAATAGAGAATTGAACCTCAAAGGTTAATCCTAAGAAACATCATCAATTTTCAGTTGGTTCTGAGTTCGAAATCAATGTAAAGAGATAAGTAGTTTGACTGGGTTTGGATGGTTTTACTTCTTCTCTAGTGCACTCCAGACCCCACTAGAGCCCCAACCCTTACTTCTTCGATTGATGGGTTGCCATTTATCAATAATTTTAGAAAAAGAAAAGAAGTTCAATTATTTATACTCAGAATTTTAATCAATTCTCGCTTTTCATTTGTATTTTGAAATAGATCAAAAGATTTCAAACTGAATGAGAAAAATAAGGCCAAGTGTTAGTACTCAGTATGCAATGATGCATATGCTTTTTTATAAATACAAAACAAAATAACAAAGTGAAATTAATTCGTGACCATTCTTTAGGAGAATATTATTTTACAAACAAGAAACTGTTCATATGTCATAAATTATCAAATCGGCACTAATTACATACAGGTTCACAGCAGCCGATGTAGGACTAGGAAATAGGCGTCCCAATACATGGAGGTTCCAATATGTCAACTGCCCCCTCTGTGAGGATGATGATAATATATTCCAACTCAACAAAGCCCATGTTGTAGTGAATTGCCCATCTGCTGAGTTTGAAAGTTGGGCAAGAGGTATTGATCGGTTCATCGGGGCGTGCAGCTCAAGGGGAATCCTGTCCCATGGGGAAATTTTGAAAGAGTTCTTTGCGGGAGATGGAGCTGATGAAGCAATCATGATGGTCAGGGCGAATTATTTTAACTGCCTACTAGAGGCTTGGTTGAAACTGGAAGCTTAACCCTTGGGCGGTCTGGGTCTCCCAAATGGGGTGGGGGGGGTGTGGGGCTTTCAGATTTATTCTCTTCATCTTTATCTTATATGACATTTATTATGGCTTCAGTGTTCTCCAGAATCTATCACATCTTTCATTAAATTATCCCTCCCATTGAAATTAAGTTGTTTAACAGTACTCAAAATTTAATCTTTTGCTATTAAATGATTCTTATAAAAGATTTATGACCCCATATTGAGAATTGACAAGGTTCCTAGTCGAACAGCAGCAGCCTGTATCGTTTTCAATTCTTGCAGAGCAGCTTTCACAAGCTCACCAGCCTCCCCTCGCCTTTTCGTTACAGACCTTTAACATAAAGTATTTTTATTATTTTTATGTAATGATTGTTACAGATCCCTATTGTGGAGTCTAATGATTGTTACAGATCCCTACTGTGGAGTCTAATGATTGTTACAGATCAATATTGTGGAGTCCAAGACAGCCATCGTGGTAATAGGCCAGTGCCTAAAACCTGTTCAATCCGGGGATCTGGAATTCCTTATTTCTACGAGCTGTATTTAAAGAGGGGATGATGTGTTTAACTTGCAGAAGGCAGGTGTGTAGTTGCCTTGAAATGAGGGTTAACCCTTCATAAGAAGAATGAACAGTGTATGGTTGTCTTTAAAGAAGAAATGATAGCCAGAACTCCTGGATTGTTGTTGCACTCCTGCAATTCAATCAATACAATTCATTGGATAAGGAGTTGAGTTCTGAGCCATATTCTACTATGACTATTTTGACATATTCCCAGAAAGGTTTAGACTAAAAACAATTGTAAGAAAAAACCGGATAAAACACAAATGTGTTAGGAAGTGGACATCTCAATTGCAGAGCAAAATTACATCTTGAGATGTAACACCTCCAATTTCAACTAGTTGTTAAAGTTGCAGTATAAAAAGTTTCTTTTTCTAAAACTAGAAGAACTATTGATAAGCTGCTTAACAAATCACATGAATTCTCTCTGTATCATAGTAAGAAAAAACCTATACCTTAGAATACTGGTAAGCTGATTGAGACCAGTATCTGCATCTAGAAGGGAGAGAAGAAAACTAACTCCTGTCTCACCAAGACCAATGTTATTTAGTGCATTGGATATCTAAACATACATGGTTAAATGAATGGGGTATATTCTTTAAAATAAAAGAAATAATCTAAATGATAAATGAAAAACTAAAGTAAAGGAGAATAAGTGAATAAATATGATCAACTTAATGAAAAAAATCAAAAAATGATTGAAGAGATAATTCAGAGCAATTGAAAGAAAGAACCTGAGTTTTCTGTGCCCCAAACTGTTTAACAGCATCTACAACAAGCTGATGTTTCTTCTCTGGGATACCCAGGTGCAGAAGGATTCCCTGGATTATTCACTATCATTACCCATTAATATAACATTTAAAACCAATCTCTCAATAGTTTTGATATTAAATTATTAAACAAAGAAAACAAGGTTCTGAAATCTCATTACAAAACATTGATCTAATTCAATTCATAATATTATTTGAATTCCATGATGCATAAAAGAGATAATGAGAATGTAATAAATATATGCCTGCAAATTTAAGATCTTCATCGCTTTGGTATTTCTTTATTAAAAACAAATAAACATCAAGAATTTGAAAAAGTATTGAATAAAAGAAAAAAATATTGTTATTATCTAGGGCCAATCATTCAAAACAGCCAATTGATTGCTTGATAAGGGCGGGGGGCTTTCAGATTTATTCTCTTTATCTTTATCTTAATGTGATAAAATGCTTATAATGTACAATTGTAATTTTGCGTAGCAAAATTAAATAATAATAAAATAAATAAATTTTAACACCTTAACAAGGTTCCCATGTCCCAATCTGAATATAAATTTGGTATCTTTCCAGTCTCCTACAAGGCAATCCAGGTAAAAGAAAGCTATGACATCAGGTTTTCATTTCATATATGCACAGTGCACTATTAACGCCAGTCACCTAGCATGGTTACAACGGATGAGGGTTTAATGAGAACCTTTAAATGTAAAAAACTGAATTTATGAAAGTTTATTTTGGCGATAAATAATTATAATGATTATATCTGAAGAATGAAAAATGAGTGGCAAGAATGTAGAACTACAGAAACAAAGCAGAGATGAGTTAAAGCATTCATAAACTTTGATCTCTGGAGTAAGAAAAATTCCAACTGCTTGAGGCATTTAAAATTTTTATTTAGATGAATTGCACGTTCTTGACATGATTTATGGAATAAAATTATGACGGGCCTTTGTAATTCAAATATCTGTTAAAGTGATAAAAGAGATAAATAAATAATCATAAACGCGCAAAAAATAAATGAGTTAATATTCTTGAATTGGTTCCTAAAGATTTTATAATATGTTCACAAACTACCAACAACTCAGCATCTGCAACAACCTTAATAAACAGTAAACAATATCAACCCAAAGTAAAAGATATAGCAGTACGGAAAACAATTAATTAACAGCAACATCAGTAGAAAAAACAGAATCAACAGTCACGAATTATCAAACTTCCTCCATCTATTGAAAAATGTGTTCAATCAATTCACAACGGTACCCTTTTGCCTTTACATCTTTATCTAAACAGTAAAGAGGAAAATATATTTGGTTTTCTATCTGGAAAAGTATCACATTATAAAATTTCACTTGTTTATCTCTACTGCATGAATCCGCTTTCAAAGAGAAACCATTTTCAATTTTTATATAAAAAACAAGAATATTTCATCATGGTCTAAAATGTCCATAAAAGGAAGGTTACTTTAAAATAATTCAATTTGAATACCTGACCACTAATGCCGGTTATTATATCGAAAGCACATTCAGTATACTCCTATTATACAAAAGGCCATTTAAAAAGTTCATTGAATATACAAATTAGAGATTAATTTTAAATTCACCGATGTAGGAACAAAATTAAAATAAGTTTAAAGCTTAATTTTGTCCTCTTGCCTTAGGATGTAGACCAAAGACCTTCTTCTCCTTCACAACCTTACCAAAAGAATATCTTTTGAAATTGTTTAGTTTTAACCTTGCCAGATACCTACAAATAAAACATGAACATAAGATAAAGTTTTAAACTGAAAAAATATTTGTTTTGAAAGGATGGTTTGGTGTTTACCGATTTAAATATACAGTACACATAATACCCTGTTTCTAGAATTTAGGGTTACCACTCAAAGACAATTATGAGAGCCATAATTTTTATTTGTTAATACTCAATTGTGAAATAATAGTTTTGATCATTTTGAGTTTGATGAACATCTGTTAGATTAGAGGTATGACTTATTTCAAATAAATAAATAAATAAAACAGTCACCCATCAATCCAGAGAGAGGGGAACAACCCCTTAATAAATAAATCATTTACCTAGCAAATGATATTCTAAGATCATGAGGAAGGCAGATGATATCACCGCTGCGGGTCATAATTTGCACGGAGGTTTCTTGTCCCTTCCATGGATTCTGGGCATTCATTGGAAGCATGAGATGTGAGTCTAGTGGTACTGCCCCGTGAAGTTCAAACACTTCCTGTGCTACACAGTGGAAAAGAGCATACGCCGCGCCAAGTTTTCTCACCAAGCCTGGTTTGACTGTATCCCCATCAAAATGAACATCTTTTGGGAGAGACATGGGTTGGGACATGCAAGAATTTATCAAATGCCTAGAAATATGATTTTCTGTAATTAATTTATTCATGAATGCTGTAAAAGAGTAATTCACCTGTATGCTTTGCTGTTCTTATTTTTCATGGCGTTCCTGACAGTCTCTTGAATTCTACAACAGTGGAAAATACATAACTAAAACTCATATAAAAGGGAGGACTGTCTTAGGAGGGGAGGTAGGCCAGCCACATCAATTTCTCATCCGAGCCACATTCTCCTCATTTTCTCGTCCGAGCCACCTCGGAATCCTCGTCCTTCGATTATTTTGTGGTAAAAAGCTTCCAATTCTTGAAGATAAAACTATTTTTTAAAAATCTGGCCACGTTAGGGCATAAATATGGGCAGAAGTATTGCAATGATTATATCATTTTGGAATCTTAAAACCCCTGAGAATGATGTAAAACTTTATTTAGGTAAAACTCAAATCTCTTTTGCCTCCATAATGGCTAACCTTCGTGATATAAAATAAATAGCAAAATATTCGGTATAACTCTGCCTATAATTTTCCCCATGGAACCACCCGAAAAAATTCTATGGTTTTCACTATAGTTAACAAAACAGATTGAAGTTCAATAAACTTGGAATGATTTGCGCATTCTACACCGGAGATGGAATTTAAAGAATTTGAGCCGCGGTTTAAATCCGCCAAAATCCGGTTTAAACTAAGCGCCGGCTTAAATCTTGAAACATTTGATACAATTTTAAGTGGAACCAACCATAGTTAAACCGCGGCTTAAATTTAAACCGCCGCTCAAATTCTTTAAATTCGGCCACGGGAGTATCTGAAAATGCGCGTAGAAAATGTGAACATTTTTTAAGACATTAAACTTGAAATCTTTAATTCAATTGAAACTTTTTTTTCGATTTACAAAAATTTGATATTTTATTTATACCCTAACGTGGCCCGATTCTTTAAAAATAGTTTTAGATAAATGCTTTGAAGAGAGGGCCATGCACTGCTCAGACTGTCCTCCGTTTGTACCTCGGTGGCGACGGAGCAGATGGAGTGCAGCTCTTGGATCGAGGAAAAAGGATGGCCATTATCCTAGAGGCATGGCTTGTCAAGATCCACGAGTAAGGTAATATGTTTTATGTAGGAAGCAGAAATGAAGCTTTCTAGTGCGGACCGCCTGGTTTTTAGAGAAATGGAACTGTCTTAGGCAGACCGCCTAATTTTCAGAGTCTCCAGAAATGGAGCTGTCTTGGGCAGACCGCCTGGTTTTTAGAGAGACTCCAGAAATGGAACTGTCTTAGACAGACCGCCTAATTTTCAGAGAGTCTCCAGAAATGGAGCTGTCTTGGGCAGACCGCCTGGTTTTTAGAGAGTCTCCTGAAGTGGAGCTGTCTTGGGCAGACCGCCTTGTATAAGTCTTCTCCCTAGGGTGACCAGTTCGGTCAGCCCATGGATACGTTTCTACGACTAGGAGCGCCGACCCCTATTTCATTGAATGATGGGTTGTCCTTTAATAATAATAATAATAATCTTGGAGGATTAGACACTTTAAAAAAATAATATTGAAAGGACGTGGATTTCAAGGTGGTTCGGACGAAAAAATGAGGACTGTGGCTCGGACGAGAAATTTTTGTGGTTGGCCTTCCTCCCCTCGTCAATTAGTAATCTTAAGTGACCCTGAATTTAAGAATATAAAATTGATTATATCCTCATTTGTAAAGGGTACCGCTGTAAAGTTAAAAGTAAATAGATGATCAGCCATTATAGGACGTAAAAAACAAGACAATCATGTATATATGTTCTCTCTGGCCGGCCAAACGGCTGGACCAAATGGGCTGTTTTTTTTGTAGACACTCATGTGTACCGTGTACTGTGTAGCCTGTGGGTGACATAGGCTAAAAAATCGATTTGTTGTCAAAATTTTTTTTTCACGGGCAACGCCGGGCCCTACAGCCAGAAGGACATATTATCCAAATGCTTATAAACTTTTACCTTGACTCTTCAACATGAGCTGGTGGCAGATAGTCGGACATTAGTAAATCATGACTCGTTGGACGCTTCATAGGATCATGATCTAGTTCACAAATGTATGCTCAATTTATAAATAATTAAAAACAAAAGAATACCAGATTTAGAAAAGGAACTTTAAAACAACTAGATTGAAAATTAAAAGTTAATTTGAAATTTTCGAAGATTAGTGTTCTTTCTCAATAAGCAAGTTTGCTTTAATCTTTCCCCCCCCCCCAACCCCGAACCCAAATTAGTACAAAAAATGTCACAAAGTTGCAAAAAGAAACATTTTAGACATAACACTATCCTAAAAGCCATGTGACTATGTAAGTTTGTTGTGGAAGCAGGTGACGATCCCAATCCTCAGGGAATACTATTTCTGGGGATCTTAATGCTGTCAACACCTAAAATACGTAAACGGGACTGTAGACGTAATTTAAAGTGACCCTCCATCTAAAGAGACATGCCCAACTCCAAAACAGTACCCTTCTAATCTATATCAGAGAAACTATGGTGAAGATTTTGTCAGTTTACTACCTTAAAAAGTGTTGAATTCTGAAGATTGCGTTCTTGTCGTTGCTGCATAAAATCAGCAAGTCACATTTAAGAGAATCCCAAATTGTAAATGACCCTTTTCAAATTAAGTGTCTCTTGAAAATATGTTGTCAGTCCCTTTAAGCAGTAATCATTTGAGGAAGAAACAGCTTGTATTCTTAAATTTTTTTAATTTCGTTTATCCCTGATGCTACCTGAATGCGCTCCATGCCTGTAAGCAGAGGAGGATGGCACATTTCAAAGAGGATGACTCCTAGACTGTAGAGATCAACCTTCTGGTTGTAGGTTGCATTCCTTTTAGTGACCTCGGGAGCAGTGTAAAGTGCTGTTCCAACCAGGCCGGTCATATCCTCTACCACTGCAATACTCTGCAGAAAACTTATAAGTGGTAGATAACTAATAATAAAACGCCCTATAATAGGCTAGGATATTTAAACACAGATTATCATTAAAACCAGTGCTTAGGATCCATTTCATTATGATACAGATCCAGATCCCATAAAAAGAAAAAATGTATCTGGATCCAAAACCGGATCTGAACTTAAAACATTTCTTCAAGATTTACTGAAATTTTTAACTAACGAAAATTGTTCCACATATACATTTTTCTCTTAATTTTATGCTAACACTTAAGGTACCAGTCAGAGATTAGGAAGGTTTTGATAGGATCTCATTAGAACACAGTTGAAATTTGTATTTTAAGAGCAAAACTTTTTTTTAGGTTATGGTCGATATTTTGACCCTTGGATCCGGATTCTAAGCACTGCATACAACTTTAAAAGTCTACTTTGACAGATCACTCAATCAGACAAAGATTCACCACTCCATCTATCAATCTTTTAACTTATTTTTTCCAGTTATAATTAGGGTTTCCCTACCTGATCCATATCTTCCTTCCTGATATCTTCAGCTGGAACAGATCCTATTAGTTCTGTGGTAGCTAAACCAAAATCTCCAATCTTTATATTATCATGACTGTCAATAAATATATTCACAGGTTTCAAATCCCTGAAAAACATATGCATAATTTAACTATGTCTGTTCTTCAACCCTCACTTCTTCAAATTTTAAATCAAAATCAATATCAATATCAAAATCAAGGTTGTTATTGATGTCCACTGCGCACATTCTTTTTAGAACTGTAACTGGTTTCAATAAAATAAAACTTTTTACAATATTTAAAATAGGTAACAGAATTTTTTAAATAAACCTTGTGATGATGATATGAAAATTAATAGACGGTCCCTTCTAAGCTAATCCTAAAACCATATTTCGGAAATATTAGCCAAGTTTTCGGCCTTGTAAAAAGCTCGAAAGACAGTACAGTACAATTTTGCATTTGTTGCCTGTGTATCATGCCCTGTGTATGAATATGAACTAATCCATCAATTACTTCTCTGAACATCTGCCAAACCTTCTTCATGTCCTTAATAGAAAATATAGAAGATAATTATTTGTTGTAAAATGTTAACTATTTATCTCTTCATTACAAGGAGGAGATGGGAATGCAGTAAATATAGGAGGCAATATTGCCTTGGCTTCCTTCGACCTTATTGGGTACTCAAGCATTTCGAGTGAAACAAGTCTAGGGAAAACAAGCCAATGTAACATTCCCTCTTATATTATTGAATATCAATTAAGTCAGGTATGGAGGAAGAGATTTGTAATTTTTTAAATTTTGTTACATTGCAACCCTAAAAGCAGCGATGCAATGTTACATTACATCTCTGCTTTTAGGGTTGCAATGTAGATATCTGGGATTTAAAAGTGTAATAAATTTAATCAAAAGTTAGAAAAATATGTTTCTAAGCCATCAGAGCTGGTACTTTTGAATGGTGGACATCGGGATTAATGCTGGATCCACTGTTTTTCTTACTCTCGAGATTATATAGGGCTTGTTCTCCTCTTGTTATTAATCTCCAGATTAATTAACCGATCGGGATTAAGAGGATCCCATTCTGAAGTTTTCAGCTCAGTTCAGTTTTCTGTAGCAAGAGACTTAAGTATTTTGGTAATACTTGAGTTGGAAAAAAAGCTGAAGTTGAGAAGACACATTCAAAACATCTTTTGAGGATTAAAAGTTATTCCCAAATCTTTTAACATTGCGCTAATAAATAAGTACTTGACAGGAGGAAATCTATATTCTATATAGCTATTGTATTTATAGTTCATTTTCTTCTATTAGTCTCCTTTTGGAAATTTTAGGCCTAGAAAGTTGTAATTACATTTAATTACCTTGTGAAGCCCTTCATCAATGTAGTTCCTTAATGTTTTCTTTTCACAGTACTCCATTTGAATGTACAATGTGTTCAGTTGTACCAATCTTTTCTCTAATCAACAGAAATAAGTTATTTAAAAATACAGGTCAGTTGTTGTTATAAAAATATGACAGTCAGTGATTGTGATTAAAATCTAAAATGTAGGTGATTCAACCCCCCCTCCCACCAAAAAAAGATTTGTTGGCAACCTCGCGTAACTATATATATATATATATATATATATATCAGTTGAAAGGCAAGAATCTTCTTATAACATTTTATTCATAAACAAATTGTTTCATGCTTTTATGCAATCATATTTTGTATATATATATATATATACAAAAATGGACGAATTTTCATCTTCCCTTCAACAAACTTTCGGAAAGGTCGTGATATATTGAAAAAAAAACATCTAATTATTAAAAACATTTTTTTTTTATAATTTAGAAAAAATTCATCTCACATAGTCTATATGAGGTAGGAAAGGGGCAGGAAAGGTTTTTAGTAAAATATATAACCCTGTAGTCAACCAAGCTATAGTTATATAAAAATTTCATCTAAGAATTATATTTCTGGTTCCTGACTGCTCTTCTGATGATACTTCATTGTTGTTACTCTGACTGATCTCTTCTGAACCAGATTCTGATATGCCTTCACCAAATATGATCCTTTCACTATCCGACTCCTGGCTCAGTGCTACTACAGGCTGGTGGAAACTCTCAGAATCTGACTCAGAATCAGAGTCTGATTCTGGAGGCATGAAGCTCACACTCCACTCAGAATCTTCTTGTCTTGAGCAGGGGTAGAGCATTTTTAAAAAATAAATAATAAAAGTCTCACTTGAAACCAAAACAAATTCTGATGCAATTATGTAAGATACAAAAAAATTTGTTCACCCTAAAACAGTTAAAGCAGCTGCTATCTTGACAAACTGTGCTAAATACAGCTTAAACAACTACCAAAATAGGGCTGTTTTAATGATTCGAAACCAGAGTCTAAAACTAAAGAACGAAAAGTTTTGACTTAAATTTTAAGTTCATGGTTAAATGCCACTTCTGACTTAATTTAAACCTGAACTTTTTACCATGTGGTTAAATATTTAACTCGCCGAAATCGACGAGTTAAAATTTAAACACAGGCTTAAAATCTTGAAATCCCACAATCCCTATTTGTCTATCATCATTCAGAGCGGTAAGCGGCATTCAAATAATTACGATATATTTAAAAGTAAAAACCTCGATTTAATAAATTTCACGTTTTAGATTAATTAATGTTTGAACGTAAACCCAAAATACGGTTGTAACTGGAAATATGTTTTGTTTTCCGTCTCGTTAATAAATAATTTATTTATTTAAAAAACAGCTGATTACCGAATACCGATACTTACGTAATAATTCTCCGTAATCCTTTTCTCTGATTGGTTCAGATTTTTCCCGGGAAATTCAAATTTAAAATTAAGAAAGTTTAATGTTTAAGTAGCTATTCATTATTTTACAGAACTTTTAACCTCGAACTTAAAATTCGCGCATTCTTTAGTTTTAGACTCTGAGTATAGAAAAAATACAATCACTCTTAAAATTTAACAACTAACTAAAAATAACATATGGGATGGGTGTAACTGAAAACAATAATTTGCCAATCCCAACCTAGATGACAGTGGTGATTTGAAGCTAGGAGGTTGAAAACCAAGCATACTCAAAGAATTATTTCCTAGTCTACAGTATGCATTGTCAAAAAAGAACAGAAATGGAATTTGACAAAAATAAAACAAACATGGTATTATAGAAAATCTGCGAACATCTTTGTGAATAACGAGAAATTAGAATAATGAGATAATAGAAACTAATCATTGAACAAGATTACTTATTTTCGATGATAAGATTAATTTTTATTTTCTCAAAATGTTCCTAAACATGACGTCTGTAGTTTATTGTAGGATATTTTTACATTTTATGTCGTTGTTAATTAATAATTTAAAAAAAAAATAATTCTGAAAGCTTATCCACCCCCAAATCAGGAGTTTTGAACGTCGAATTTGCACTCAAACTCAGGATTTACAGATCTTTAAAACGTTTAATATGTCTCAAATGAATCCTAAAGAAGTTTTCCACAACACTGCATACTCAGTTCAACTATCTTACATAGCCGGTCACTCCCTTTAAATGCAGAGACTGCTAGCTGATATCAATAATATAATAATAAAGCCTGCTCGTTATTTGTTGTTGTTGAATGCAACTCCCTTGATTGAGGCCCAGTTCCCTCCTCAGTAGTAGTAGTACTTCCTTCATCAGTGTCTGGTGAGACAAGAGTTACTTCCTACCATTAGGTATTAAAATAATTAAAAACATGCCACAGACACTTATTTTAAGGTGTAATTAAGGAATATTAAAACAGTTCAAAACTATCCTGAAAGAACAGGTCAAAATACGAAGTTTTAATTATAAATAACAATAACCAATTGTAAACCCATTAATATTATTATTATCATTCAACCTACAATCAAAGTATAACCACCAGTTGCACCAATGAGTTGTACGTTCCATTCATGTTATGAAAAATATATTAATTACCAATGGATTATTTTCTTGTTAATGTAAAATTTGTTTTAAAGACTGTATTATGAGATCTACGTTGTAAACCGCAATCCTGCGAATTGTATATCTCCTGCCACTTTAATATGTTAACATGTTATTGTGCAATAAATATTACTTACTTACTTACTTAATCTTTTCAGATAAAGTATTTTAACTATGGTTAAAAAATCACTGGCAAACTAGAAATTCCAATTAAAAAAAAGAAAAAAAGGGAGAAATGTTATTTAAATAATTTAAATAATCGTGAGTAAATGCACTTACCTGCCAAGAGTTGTAGTATCTGACCACATTTTCATGATTCAATCTTGATAGAAGTTTCACTTCCCGCATTATCTTCTTGTTAATCTGGCGGTCAGCTGGGTTCAGGCGAATACGTTTAATCGCGTAGGTCTGGTCATCCAGCTTGTTTTTTACCTGACATTGACATTTTAGATTTAAACATCTAGCCCATTCTCTACTTAAACAAACTGCCGTTGCATTATCAAGTGACGAATCCGATTCACATCGGTAACCTTTAACATTTATCTCATCAATTTTGTGTATGATATCGTGACTAGTCTAGCTTATTAAGTGTTCAATTCTGACAATTTCATCTGCAAGTAACTTAATAAATTTCTACGCCTTTCTTCTTAATTTATGTAAAAGGGACTTCTAACGTAATTTTCAGTGAACTTCTATTTATGTCTGATTCATCATGGACCATGGTACCCTTTAAAAATTTGTCCGATCAAAACTGATGAAGCTAAGGTTCTCTATAAAAATGACATGCAGATTTATGCAGCAAGAAAACAGAAGGAAATATTGAGAAATTGTATCTTCTTAACGACAATGTCTCCCCATTTTTAATCCGACATAGGGTTAAATGTTACTGTACTGGATCGGGCATGTACATTGTACACTGTACTGTCCCTTAAGTGTTCAGAATAATTGATTTTAGTTTATTTTTTACCTGAATTACGTCTCCGAACCCTCCTCGACCAATCCAGGATATTATTGTGAAATCCTGAAAATATCTATTTACTTCAAAAAGGTAAAATGTTTCTTTTAGTGTAAATTAAAGAACCTTTGGTTATTTAAATATCTCAATTCGGACGTAGAGGAGAATAAAAAGTTTAAAATTTTCAAATAAATAATTGAATACTGAAAACTGCACAATTTAAAACCATCGATTGATGAAAGGGTCCCAATCCAATCCAATAAATAAATAGATTTCCTGGTTAAGTCTTGATTGTTTTGAGTTTTCTATGATAATTGGGTCTTTATTTAACTCCATTACTGGCTCCGTAGACTCCGGTCTAGTTCAGGCATCAATTATTTTTAATAACAAAATTACTTAAAGGGACTGTTGTTGTAATTTCATGTGACTTTCCATTTAAAAAGGGGTATGCCCGATTCAGAACGGCACCCTTAATACCTTTATCTGATCAATAATATTGAAGATATCGTCGGTTTTCTTGCTTGAAAAGTGCTTTTAATTCAGGTACCTCCAATGTTTCTAAAGCTTATTGAGCAAGTCACTTAATAGAGAACCCACAATTGAAAATAGTCAATATTAAAAGAGAATTCTTTATCAGATAAAAGCGTTTAGCGAAATAGCGATACCGTTGTGAATCGGCCATGTTATTAATTCAAAACCAGAGAAAAAAACTGTCGCTTAAATAAAATATCAGATCAGACACAGATATTTGAAACATACATATGAAAAGGAGAATAATAACGATGATTTATTCCTTTGAGCTTCTAAGGGATGAGGAGCTTGCCCCCAGCCCTCCTGATCTCCTCGAACAAACTCAGTCAAGAAAGCGTGCTCTAGAAGCTGGTCTGCGCTCCAGCGCTCCTTCTCATCCTTCAGAAGACATTTAGACAGGAAATCTTGCAGTAAGACAGGTAAAGCACCTAAAATCGTATTTAACATTTAAACATGCCCAATGCCCATTTTTCTCAATAATAACTATTTTTTCACCCTGAAGGTTAGATAGACAGTTACTATATTTACTATTTTTTCTTTAAAAAAGCCTGTGTCACTTCTGCCATCGCAAGTTTGTTAGAATGAATAACTTTTTTGTTATCTAAATCTGTTATCTTAATGATTTTAACACTCCTTAGAAAATCTTGCCTGGCAATTTTGGGTTCTGATCCTTTACTATAGAACCCTGTAGAACGGAGATCAGAATCAGACCAAATCTGGGAACAACAATAAAATATTTATTAAGTACTACCGGGAGATGTCTGAAGAATCAGAATAAACTCTCATCTATTTGTAAGTAAGACAACAATCGCCAATTTCTTCTAGGATTTTATTCAAAAACTGTTTAAAAGTTCATGAGCAATTTTTTTGTTATTAATTAAATCACAGTTAATGCATATGGGTGTCTTCTCATTTTAATTGCTTAAGCTTTTTTATTATTTCCTGTAAATATCACATTTCTTCCCTCCACGCCCAAGTGAGAGGGGGTACACATCTTCAAGAATTTCCTCGTTAGTAACAGCAACAAATTCCCGGATTTTCAAGTCAAGAGAAAAATCAGCAACCTTGACAATCCCATCCGGCTGGATAAAAACAGAACTATGACGTAGATTTCTGTGAATTATATCTAAACCATGAAGGTATTCCAAGCCAACAAGAACCTGTTAAAATAGTTGCACTTTTATTTTGGCTCCCATATTTTTTTTGCATAAATCATTCATATCATTTTGATGAAAAAATTCTAAGTTTGCAATTTTAGACACTTTATATACCGTTCAAAGAATAGAAAGTTTAATAATATCTCATTTGTTGACACTGAAGTTGTGTGTTTTGAGAGCAACATTTTTTTTGTCGATGTTAAGCCTGAATTATCCACATCAGGACCAGTGTGTGCACGTGAATTGCATAGAAAAAAACACAATAATGCTGACTTTGGAGTTAAGATGAAAGAAAAACCTTGCAGGGTTATTACGAGCTAGGTAGTCAAGAGTATAGAAAGATCTGAGCTGAGGAAGACTTAGCCAGCACTTCTTCGTTAAAGAATACATCAAGATTATTTCATCGAGTTTAAGAATTTCCATTATTACATTTTTTCCTCATAAGATTATCGTATTATGCTGTTGCACAAAATCAAATAAAAGATTTATGAAAAATGCAAATTCCTGAGATGCCACATTGTGAAGGCAAGTAATATTCATTGTTTGCTCTCCTGTACATCGTTACATTAGAAATCATTTAACTTAATTTTTTGTTAGATTCAGATTTATGATTAAAATACTTCTTGAGATAAGAAAAAGACAAGATAAAAATAAGAAATTATTGGACTAGAAGACTAAAAAATTCATATTTCCAAGAGAACTCTCCTAATTTTTTTTCTCAAAAAATTTTTCGGAACATTAATTGATGGACTATTTTTATCATTTTAGTTATCATTATTTAACTCTTAATGTGCAAATACGAACAAACAAAAACAAAAGAAAAGGCCATTATTTTCCTAAGCAATATTCAGTTATATGGTATTTTGGAAGCTCCTGGCTTTCATTATCATGATTTCTAAACCACCCTGTTATATATAGGTCTAGGGATGTTCCCCTGCAAAATTCCTGAAACAAGTGAAGGATGAGTTTCCTCTCTTTAGCCAGCTCTGTTTTCTCTAATCCAATATAACTCACTAATAGGATTAAAACCATCAAAAACGGAATTTTTTTCAGTTTAATAACTTATCTGTGTATTGAAAAAGATATTTTCTGATTTTAACAAAATGAATATCCTAAAGATAATAGCAAATCTCTTAGGTCATTGATGTCTGTCTATTATTATCCGTAGTCAAATTAAATACACATAATTAATTATGTATCATGGGATAAACTTTTTTTACATGAGTATGCATTTTTACCCCCCCCCCCCTCCCCCGTGGCCCAATATATTAACAATATTTTTCTCTCTCGCTAAAATGATTTTTTATTTGGTTAAAAAAATATCAAAAAGGGAGAAAGAACTCGACAGTCGACAGTATATGTTAATTTTGATTTTGTTACAAACCTTCTAAAATACTTTGTACTAAATAAATGATATTTAATAAAAGTAAAAATGTATTTAGTATTTTAAAATGCAAGTAAGGAAAACAGTGTTAACTGTTTTAACCAATTTCAAAATAGTATTTATAGTTTCTGCAGAACATATCTGCCTAAAACTGGGTGAAAGTTATGTTTTATTCACAAAAATTCTAATAATATTCTATCTAATATGATGATTTTTTCCTAAGTTAACATGACGGATCTTCTGTAGGTTGGCCATCTCATTTTCAAACAATGTCAGCTGTTTTCCCATTTCCGTTTCCGAGTCAAGAAATTTAACTTTTCTGTTTACTGCCTTCGTGCATAATTGCCACCTGGGGATATTATTTATCCAATAAAATAAAGTTTAAAAATATGTATTGGCAGGTATTTTCTTCAAAGGAATTGTTTAACTATCAGAATATCAATCTGCAGTACCGTCAATCAGGATTTTCTTATAGTGACTCTACAGTCTTGAAAAATTTATCTCACATTGGAGAAAAACTTTAACGAGAAAAATATTTTCCCTAGGGAGCATTTTTAAACACCAACGGTTATGTAAAGTTTAATGTGTTAATTCCAATAAAGGGTTTAATAAGTGAATTAAAAATAAATTTTCTGTGATCTCCGTAAAACATCATTTAAAATGTTCAAAAATGAATGAATAATATTCCTATGAATGGCGAGCATCTGTCCAGTTTCTAGTAGAATACCGGAATATGTTGATTCACCTTGATGGTTATATCCCAGACTACACCCTCGTACCACCTGGATCAATTCAGATCAGAACAAATAATTTTCAATCATATTACATCTGATCCCAGTTCTGTTCTTTTCTGTGCAGTGCAGTGCAGTGCTGTGCGGTTTTGCATTGTACAGCACTGCAATTTAAAGTACTGTACCTCATATTTTACACCTCTGACTCTAAAGTTTATTTTCTCAGTTCCATCTCTACTCTCCTCACATTCAGAATTCTTTTTCATCCTCAACCTCCATTCATCCCTGGCTCTAAACTCATTCTCGAGTTTTTTATCATCCCTTCTACCCCATCCACCTGGATGAATCATCTTTTTTAAAAAAACTTCCATCAAAACAATCTTTTCTATACATAATAACTTGCAAAAAAACTTGAAAAAAAGGACCAATTATAAAATTTAGCTTTAACGATAACAAGTTTTAAAACCTTTCGAGCTGTCTTTTAGTACCAGTACCAAAGATGCTCGTAATCTTAAAAATAAAAAATCTTAAATATTTATGATTCAAAACATTAAATGATGAAACAATCCTAGAATATTGTTCTCCTTACATTTGGTCTCCTCTTCCTAAAAATCTTTACGATAGTCATTTGATGGCTTATTTAATGATTTTGATGAGAAATTGAAGGAAACCATGAAAATAAGGAGAAAAAACAATACAAATTAAACAAAATTCCGTAAAGTTGTCTTGGATCCGCAAGATTTTGGCTTCCTGGATCCGTATCCAAGAGCATAAAATTAACCAAAAACTGCATATTTTTGTTTTTGTTTTTTACTTTCTAAAACTAAATCTGAATTATTGAAAGAAGAGAGATTATACAAATTTCCCGATATCTGAATAGTTCATCAATTTTTAGCATAAAAATAAGAGAAAACAAATAATACAAAAAATTTGAAAGTTCTGCTTTGTCAAAAAAAAATTCAGTAAATCTTAAAGAAATGACCTGTAACTATTTTTTTTTCCAGTGCGAATCCGGATCCGCATCAAAATTAAATGGATCCTAAGCACTGAACCCTGTGCATGACAATGATAACAGCAAATAATTCTCAATCCTTTTAATGGATTATACGGGACTGCCGTAATTTTAAGTGACCTTTCATTTAAATAATGCATTTTCCGATTCACAACAGTACCGTTGTCAATCAGACATGCCACTCTGTAATTGTCATTTGAATGTCTACAGTCCCTTTATACAGATAATTAATACAATTAATTCAGCGCATAGAGTTCATCCTTCATTAAGCACAAAAGTAAATATAATAAAACTAAAAATAGCGCTGATGAACCTACCTTTACCAATCGTTCCTCCTCATCAATCTCCTCCCTACGCTTAACCACCTCTTTAGCCATGACCTGACCGTGCAAATAAAACAGTTGAAAATAAAAATCTTCCAATAATCATCAATACTGTTTAATACCTGTCTCTCTAAGGATGTTAGTCTACTATAGCCTGGAATATGAAATAAAGTTTAGATTTGCAAAAATCTAAAAGAATATTTTAAAGTATCTTTTATTCTTTAATATGATTTTACCCTCAGATTTTTTTCTCTCTTCAATTTTTCTCCTTTCCTCCATTTCCTCATAAAACGAGGAGAATATCTTGCAGCCATTTTCAACAAGAAAGGATTGTGTTTCTGTACATAATTCGTAGATTAGTTCCTCACCGGCCTGGTCTGTCGCCATCTTTATCAGCTTATTTAGCAACGCATCCTGCTGGGCCTACATTACCACGTGGGAGTTTCTTTAGTGAGGGAATTTTTTAATCTTAAGCCATTTTTAAAGCTAATTTTTTCCGATCAACAACATATTATTAGTAAACAATGCCTAAGTTTATTATTCTAATTTCATACAATGTTGAATGCTGGAAGTTCAAACAAAATCGTCCATTTTTTTCTAATCTTTTAAGATCTTTACCTGGGAGAGTCCATGAGATTCTGCAATAGAGATTTCTGGGACATCCTAGATAAATGTCAGTATGGCTTTATTACGACATTTAAGAAAAATTATGGAAACTTGGTTTAATAAGTATTTCAACATTTAAGTCAAATCCACAAAAAATAAAATCATATGAAAGATATTATTTGGACAAAGCTTCTAATCACGATTTGCACGTCATTTTCAACAAAAAAAAAATCCGCCAAAATAGCGTTCAGCTAATTAGTAGTTTTATTACCAAAGGATAGCGAGAAGTCATTTTTATTCTCAGATCTACTTGACAATTCAATTCATGCGATCCTCTGTACATCAAAGATTATCATTAAAAATAAAAAATTAAGCTATAACAATTTTTAAATACACATTTTTTTTCGGGGGAAGGGGAAGCCAGCCCAATTTTTTTCCAGACTTAAATATATCCCAGAGTAATAAATCCTTCCATGTTAAGAAGAGAGAGTAAATGAAAATATTGGATCCATCCGGACTCTGATAAAGGTTAAACCTCTCCATGAGAGATGTAATAATTTGATACAATCAATCCTTTCCTAGCTCCAAACCTTACACCATCATTGATTGTTTGCCTGTTTTGTTAATGACGACTTATCCAAGGGAGTTTTGAACTACAATAGCGCCCGGCATTACGCACCTTGATCAAATTTAAAACAGGACTCAAATTTTCAAGTCATTCTAAAGTTTTTATACTAGTGATACGACTGAAATGTTTACATTTTAATACGTCAAATTGGTAATGAACGGAGCATATTTTCAGAATTATGGTTTTAATTTAAAGAGTTAACAGATTTATCATCGGATATTGTAGAGATACTTGAGATATAATTAATAAAGGGATACGGACATTTTGTTAGTCTGATGATGTTTTCTATTACAGGACTACATTATGATACTGGAATAGTCTCCAGAAACAGGTATATGTTATTGTTTTGGTTACTTTTATGTATTGTTGTATACTATATATCTTTCGTGTTTCAGATAAGAATACTCCTCGGCTTGGGGGTTTTATATATATTATACTATTATTGTACATATTTATTTCCAGAGAATATGTGTCACTGACATCATTATGCTAGTAATCAGGTGCATTAGTCAGTATATCAATGGTAGCAGAGCCAACAAGGTTCTGAAAGACCTTAGCTCATGGTAATAGCTGAGTTTTTATGCAGAAAGTCCTGAAGACTTAGTTCTGCAATTATGGCTGGTAAGCTAAATGTTACTTACCCAAGTCTGAATGAGGCTAAGACTTATGAGTCTTATATATGTGGGCTGCTGTCACTGAGAAAGACAAGAAGAAGCAATGCAATCTAATTTCTATGTCATTGCCAAATGAAGGCAAGTTTGGCAACAACTAGAAGGAGTGGGTAATGGAAATCTTAGCTGTGCAATCTTAGCAATCTTAGCTGTGATGATGGATTAACCAAACTGGTTAAGTTTCTTGATGCAGAATTGGCTTCTGATGCAACAACAGATCTCATTGGAAAATGGGATGATTGGTTTGACTTTGTAAGGAAACCAGATCAAACCATGGAACAATTCATAGGTGAATATAAGTTACTGATCAGCAGACTGGAATTTGCTGGACAGAAACTAAGTGAGCAAGTAAAAGGCTTTGCTCTAATGAGGAAACCAGGTCTTAGTGATCTGGAAAGGACTTTAATCCTATCAAGATTAGATCTTGAGAAATCTGAATCAATATAAAAGAATATAAAGATTCAATGTACCAACCTACTGGGAAAGATTCTTAAGCAAGGAAGTGATTTAAGAAATCATACTATCAAGCTAGAACTTGCTTATTCAGCTCAGCATGAGGACACTCTAGCTACAATGGTTTACTACAAGAAGTATGATAATAAGCAAAGTTGGAGAAAGGATGGAAAATCTGACTAGAAACCCAAAGGTTTAAAGAATTTTCCTCTCAAGAAGAATTACACTTCAAACAAGAAAAATAATCTGAAGGGTAGAGATGGAAAAACATTGAGATGCAATGTTTGTGGATCATATTTGCATTTGTTCAGGGACTGACCTGAAATTGAAGAAAGTGTAAACAATGTATTAGAAAAAGATTCTGTTATGATGTATTTGAATCTTTAGAGAAGCTTGTTCTCTTCACAGATAATTCAAGTGAAATGAACATATTTACATCTGAATCATTGAATTTTGCTGCTGTAGATACCTGCAATGCAATCTAAAAATAGCTACAAAATCCCTATTAATCCTGTTGGGAAAGTATTTTTCATAGACATGGATATAATAGATTTCGATATACCCCTGCTGCTTTCCAAGAAAGAAATGAAGAAACATGACATGAACTTTTTCTTGCAAGAAGATAGAGCCATTATCCAAGGCAGGAGTGTTCCCTTGAGAACAACTAGTGCTGGTCATTACATTCTTCCACTTCTCAATCAAGAATGTCTTGTTGCTGAAGAAGTGTTTGCAGTAAACTTGAAAGAAGCTTCAGATTCAGAGAAGAAGAAAGCTGTTGAAAAACTGCACGAGCAGTTTGGGCATAGACCAAAGAAGGCTTTTACTGATCTTCTGAAGAATGCTGATTCTTGGACTCCTAATATGTCTAACAATTTGGACAAAATCATTGAGAACTGTACTGGTTGCATAATGAGGCGGCGGAATCCAGACAGACCTGCAGTTGCCATGTCAATGGCTAGTGACTTTAATGAAAAAGTTGCTGTTGACTTGAAACACTGGAAGAATGGCTACATTCTGTACTGTGTTGATCTATGGAGAAGGCTTACCACTGCTGCTTTAATAAGAAGAAAGGAGGCAAGGCCAGTAAAATGGACAAGATTATGTCAAAATGGGTTGCATACTATTAAGTGCCATCTTGTATACTCAATGACAATGGAGGTGAATTCACAGCAGATGAAGTAGTGGCCATGAAAGGAGCACTCAATGTTGTGAATCTCACCACTGGAGCAAATTCTTGCTGGCAGAGCGGGACTTGTGAGAGAAATCATGCTGTGGTTGATAATATTCTGGAAAAAGTTGAAGATGATTATCCATAACTTGATATAAAAACTAAGTTAGCAAGGGCATGTATGGCAAAGAACAGTTTAATTAATGTCTATGGCTACAGTCCTAATCAGCTTGTTTTTGGGAGAAGTCGAAAACTTCAAATATAATTACTGATGGACCCCCCCCCCTCTTGGGAAAATGAGAATGTAAGTCTTTGCTAAAACATCTTAAAGCTCTACATGCTACAAGAAAAGCCTTCATTGCCTCAAAAAAGCTGTGCTAAATTGAAATTAGCACTGAAAAGCAAGGTTAGATGTTCTGCAGAGTTGTACTCAAATGGAGAAATTGTTTATTTCAAGAGAGACAATGATTCTTCATGGCAGGGAACAGCAAAGGTGTTTTTTTTCAGATTCTATTTTTATAAAATGAGAGTCTGAAGGGATTATATTTTTATTCCAACTTACCTTCTGCCAGGGTTACTCTTACCTCAGGACGGGCCTAAAGATATTTAAGCGATAGATTTTCCCTCTCATTGTCCCTAAATTTCAGCAGCAGATTTATATTCTATTCTGTGATAGATTTAATTGTTTATATGCTTTTATTAGATTATCGCATATTTATACATATTGTAATAGTTTTATCCTGTATTATGAATGAACACTGATTTGGATACTGTCTTTGTTACTTAGAGTCGAAGATTGTATTTGTTCTGTTCTTCTCTACAAAAAACTGAGCTCGAGATAGATTTACTTGATTAGACTGAGTATATCTCTAAGCTTTCGTGATATTCATTGTCACCAATTTGTGACGAAACACTGCCTCAAATTTTAATTGGGGAACTTGGGGTAACCATGGGAATAACTTAAGAGTAAACTGGGCAGTGCTGGCTTCCCAAGTTAGTAGTTGTATAATACATAAATTCAATATTGCACAGTGCACAGTCAAAGATGCCCCCTTAGCTGTGACCCCCCCCCCCCTCCCCCTATGCCCCTATGTCTTTAGTCTTTCAGATCATTTTCAAGGCAATGTCAATCTTCCTAGAGGTATTCGATGATTCTAGATGAATAATCATCTCTGGAGGTCTTACAATTTTCCAGGCATCAGTTTCTCTAAAATGTCAAATGTTCATAACAAAAAGATAAAAATTACCAAATGTTATAAAAACGTTATCATAATTTTTTATGTAAGACATAGATGAAGACCTAGATCAAACTACATTCATTCAAAAAATTTAAATAACCTTGAAAAAATTTCACTTTTCAGTACAAAAAAGGATGAATTGTCAGCAATTCAACAGATCATATCAACGAAACAAGAATCAAATTGAAATACACTCATGTTAAATAATTTTTTTCTCCAGTTTTTACCTCATGTCTCTCAAATCATTTGAAAATATAGATTTCAGAACCTCAAATTCCTCTTCTCTTCTCTCCCTTAGCTTCTCTTCCTCCTTCTCCTCCTCATTCATGCTTCTGAAAAAAAAACATTCAAAAATTTTCATAAAAAATTGGTCCAAAAATCACAGGAATAAGTCAATCACATGAGATCAATAAAGTTAACGGAGTGCTTCTAATCGACTAACTGCTTTATCCTGGACATCTCCTAGTTATCCCTCCTGGTGATGATCAGCATCTGCTTCAAATCTCCTCCTAAATACATGAATATACATGATCATGATCAGTTTCATCATCATAATAATGAAGAGAGATGAGGACCAATGACCATGATAAATACTGTTACCATTTTTTAGAAATTAATTTTTTATTAATTTTGGGACAGAATATGCATTACATAAACAAGGTACAAAGTTGTTTCTAGAACAATTTAATTGTCTTTTGTTTACTGTTGTTATATGATTTATTTTACTATTGTGCTGCTGCTGGGGGTGTATGTATAGTGTATCTAGTAGTTTTTTTTCTTCGCATTCACCAGCAGAAATACCATGTCAAGAGGTTCACCAGAAATACAATGTTGAGGTTAACTTCTGGGGACCTCGCTAAAAGGGGTTCACTTTCACAAACCTCTTCTCTTAAAGGGGTCACTTCCAGGGACCAAACATTTACAGATTCACTTCTGGGGACAACACATAATAAGTTTACTTCCATGGACTACCTTGTTAGGGGTTACTTCCGGGGACCTAACAAACAGGAGTTCCCTTCTTGGGCCATTCATACAGGGGTTCATTTCCAGGAACCTTTCTCTTAGTGCGTCACTTCCGCACACATTGGGTTTACAAGGACTGCGCTCGCACATTGGGGTTTACCATTTGGCTGACAATAAAATTAAATGGCTGTGACCTTGACCCATGCCCATGCCGAATACTATAATTAAGAACATTTCATAGTAAACTGATGAAAATAAGTTCGAGTCATCTTAAAGAAAGGACCATGACCAGATTTTTATCACTGGCTACATTTGAACAATGCAAAAAAATAATTACATTCTTGTGAAATTTGATTCTTTTTGCATCAATAAAAACTTGCTAAATTCAAGTTCAAATAGATTATATTTTTGGATTTTATTTTACTCACCAAAACTAACGGATTTCCTGACTGAGAGATTCAGATATTCTGCAGCTTTGCATATCGTGTCATAGCCCTAAAAAAGCAGATCATCAAGGGTTTACATAATTCCTTTAAAAACAGATTCCCAATCTTTTGAGAGGGAGGGAAGATGGAAAGGGATAAAGAGAGGAGCGAAGGGAGGTAGGTGGGTAGGTAGGTAGGTAGGTAGGTAGGTAGGTAGGTAGGTAGGTAGGTAGGTAGGTAGGTACGTAGGTAGGTAGGTAGGTAGGTAGATAGATAGATAGATAGATAGATAGATAGATAGATAGATAGATTTCCTTTCCTGTTCCTTTTTTTCTATTTTTTAAGAAAGGAAGGAAGGAAGGAAGGAAGGAAGAAAGGAAGGAAGGAAGGAAGGTTGAATGGTTACCTGAATGATAGATGGAAGAATGATCTCACTATCTCCTTCATGATCCTCTTTAAACTCCTTAAGAAGGAGATAAATAGGAGAACTGAGCACAGCAGGGTCCTGCTCCCTTTAAAACAATAGGTAACAATCTGATAAAGGATTCGTTAAATGGATTGAACTCTCTGATCCCTTTTTATTAAGATTGTAAAGGTATTGAATATTTGAAGATAAAAAATCAAAATCATAAGTTAATCCCTGTTTTAAATTAAATTCCAAAAAAAATGGTTGATCCCAATAATATTGATACTACCAAGAGATTCGGTGAAAAAGCCTTGAACAAAGTGCTTAAATAATGCTTTAAAATAAATAATTAAAAAGATCTAAAACATAGCGGGAACAATAAAAATTTACAAAAAGAATTAATTTTAAGCACAAAAAAATAAGGTGATGTACACAAATTCTCCCCCCCCCCCTTTAATAACAATATTCAAAAGATGTGCAGAATAGTGCAACAATACTGGTTTTTAGAAAGGAATTGAACAGTGAGAACGCTCTGGTATAGGAAGACTACTTTTATGACTTTAAATAGTTTAATGAACGTGAGACACAGAAATTGTGCAGTGTAAACAGACCAATTAAACTGATTAGCCGATTTAATTAGTTACACTCAGAACTATTTGCTTTGAAAAAACATCAAATACGCTCAAGCATTGCTATATAATGGCGTCTTTCTATTTCACAGTTTTCTGGTTCTTACAGTATCAAAACTTTTGTTAATTTCTTAATTTCCTTTCAATCGATTACTTACTTTGGAATCTTGTCATAGGACTTGAACATGTTTAGACAATAGTTTTTCTCCTGATTCTTATTCTTTTCTGTAATCTTATACAACCTAAATTTAATTTGATATTTCCTCTTCTCTTCTTAAACCAGCAGAACCATCAAACCCTCAAAAGAATTAATTACATTTTCCTTAACTCAAAATAAGAAGACTTTTGCTAAAATTCAGCTTAGAGCAAATATTTTTCAATTTACATTGGATAAAAAATTACATTTTCAATTAAACTTGTCATTACATTCAAATCACTTTGTTACTTAGAGTCGAAGATTGTATTTGTTCTGTTCTTCTCTACAAAAAACTGAGCTCGAGATAGATTTACTTGATTAGACTGAGTATATCTCTAAGCTTTCGTGATATTCATTGTCACCAATTTGTGACGAAACACTGCCTCAAATTTTAATTGGGGAACTTGGGGTAACCATGGGAATAACTTAAGAGTAAACTGGGCAGTGCTGGCTTCCCAAGTTAGTAGTTGTATAATACATAAATTCAATATTGCACAGTGCACAGTCAAAGATGCCCCCTTAGCTGTGACCCCCCCNATCAAAATTCGATCGTCATTAAATTTTTAAAAATTTTGAAAATCCGCGAAATTTTTTGTAAAAATCCGCGAATTATTTTTGTTTTGTTTTACGATGTACACAAAGAGAACATGTTCACAACTAATTTAGAAGAGGCTAGAAAGAAGGGCGCGAAGCGCCTTGAATTTCTAGTATTCAATAAAATAGAGATAATGTTTCCAATATTCTAACTGCAAAATCATTAATTTAAATGTTGATGTTATTTTAATATTCAAACCCAACAAACTACATGTAATATTTGTGTCACCTTTTAAAACCCAATATCTATGACTGACATACCTCATCCATGCTTCCTTCCTGTTGGTTGGCTTTGGAGAGAAGAAAGTAGGCTTTCGCATTCAAAGGTTGTTTTTCTAAATAAATATTGTTTTTCTAAATAAATATTGTTTTCTTAATAAATATTGTTTTTCTTAATAAATATTGTTTTTCTAAATAAATAGTTTTTTTCTAAATAAATATAGTTTTTCTAAATAAATATAGTTTTTCTAGATAAATATTGTTTTTCTAAATAAATATTGTTTTTCTAAATAAATATTGTTTTTCTAAATAAATATTGTTTTTCTAATTAAATATTGTTTTTCAAAATAAATATTGTTTTTCTAAATAAATAAACATTTAAAATTAAGTTTATTTATCGGGAACAGTTAATGTCCCTATTATTACTTTTCTAAGTATGAAATGGCCTGTAAAAACCCCCACAATTTTAATGTAAGACACTGAAAGTTAGTGGTCAAATTTAAAGACAGTCTCGCTTAAGAGTGTCGCAACGACTTGGCCTTTGGTTTTACCTCACTATGACTCACTTGAACTTTTCAGAAGCCCTGGCATACATATTTTAAAAATGTAACGTACTTGTTTTTAGCAATTCAGATTAAAAGGAGTAATTGGCAAAATTTCTGCCTAATTTTTGAATGAGCGTTCACATCTTGCTTTGCATTGAAGCTCAGAGTGCTTAAACATTTGGAAAAAATCTGATGTTTATACGCTTGCATTGGTTTTAGACATGACAGTTTAGTGAAGTTTGTCTAAATAGAAAAAAATAACTGGTATTAATCTATAAGATCCTAATTTCTATCTTGGTTAAAACCCATGAGATTTTATAATTCTAAAAAAACGGACGATGTCTAGAGATTCTATGTAGCTCGGCAGTTCCATGTTTTCAGATAAAAATAAAATCATTCTCTTTAAATCTACTAATAAATCTACTAATAATAAAACTACTAATAGTGTTCACTTCCTGCTAATCAAATAGTTTGAACATATTTTTTACCTAGGAGGGACACCATGTCTTCCATATGCGTACTCTGGAGCTAAATAAAACATCAAATAATAGATTAAACAATTCACAAATAACATTACATTGATAAATAAATAATCAATTGGTTCATAAATAATTGATTGATGATAATTATTTAAAAATAAATTCTAATTAGATAGATTTAGATTATATTGCATTACGGGATGTCGACCGTTTCTAAAATCTGAAATATGGTTTCTCCACTAATGCCTTGAAAAATTAACTAACGGAATCTAAGATGGAAATTGTCAGAATTCCAACTTTTTTTTGCGATATCTGCTTTTTCCTTCTCAGATAAAGGTTTTAAGGGAAGAATTGTGAATCGGGCATGCCACAATTTAATTGAGGGTCACCTAACATTATGTTGAAAGACAGATTTCGTAAAACATTCATTAATAATTAGAAATGGGAGGACTATTTATATCTAACTATCCTCCCTACATGGTTTTTAAATAAGCAAATAACTTACTGATAACTTCCCTACAAAGAATCTCGGCCTTCCTGTCCAAATTCAGACGTAGACAGCACTGGACCTTGTTTAGTGTAAGAGCACACAACTTGGACTCCAGGAATTCCTAAAATTGTAATAATAATTACAAAAAATAAACTCTTGCAAAAGCAGGAAGGTTTGTGCCCCCGGCGCCTGGTAAGGCGTCCATTTTCGTGGCTGGCTCGTAAAACAAATTCTTGCTTCAATTCAAAGCAAATAATTTAAATTCAAAGATATATTGATTAATAGGAAGAGGGGGTGAGGAGGACACGTTATCATAAGATTTTACTAACTTTATAAAAGAGACAGAATTTTCTAAAGAACGTTCAAAGAAACTTTGAAGAAATATTCATTACAGAAACATGAATAATGAATTAACTGGTTTTGAAACTTAACTTGCAAAGTCAACATTTGATTTAAATTTTCCCTCAAGTATTGTTAACGAATATTTAATAAAAGATTAATTTTCAAAATTTTATTTTCCCATGGAACGAAACCACCTCCAACACCTGATTTACCTTTTTATCCGCCTCTACGTCACCGATCCTCTCCTCCAACAACCTCAGGGCTAAATCATAATGTGAGATTGCATCTAACCATTCTTCAGACTACATGGTGACCCGAAAATCAATTTTGCGGCAAAAGGTTAATATTCTAAAGGAAATTAAGGGATTGACTAAAGGAACCAAAGCGGATTGTGGAATGTGGATATTTGATATCAAATGACCCTCATTCACAACAATCATCGTGAGTTTTTTTATAAAAAATGTTGAATTCTTTGTTTCCTTAGCATAAATCCGCAAATCAAATTTAAAAAGATTTTACAATTTTCAGAAAGAAATCTCTGAGAATATCTCATTCATCCAAGTTCAGAAAAAGTGTATGGTTAAGTAATGTCTACTGATTTTAAAGTACTCAATAATAAACGGAACAAAAAGGTTTAATCAATTTTTCAAAAGCGTCTGAAGTCAAAAAAAAAGTAAAACAGAAATAAAATTGAAATTTTCTTCCTTGAAGTCCTTGTTCCCGGCAGTATGTTCTGATTCAACCCCCTCCAGTATTTTATCTAGACCTAACTTGATTCTATCTTCAACAGGCAAACCTTCGCATAAAACCTTCTTTTAACAGAACAATAAAATATACGGGTAAGGATTAAGTTCATGAATAGTTCTGCAAGTTAAACTGATTTTCGTAATAAAAGAAAAATATAAGTGTCTTTTCTTTTGTTCAGTAATATTTTTTTTTGATAAAACTTGATTTACCATTTAAGGAAGATTTGAATCTTTTATTAGTTATGGTTCAGATTTATGTTTTGAAAGCAAAAAGATTAATTAATTAATAAAGAAATTCCAGTTGCAAGCTCCTCTCAAAAATAAGTAAATTAAAAACTAAAAGGAAAACTATTTTATAATTAAAAAGAAAAAATAATTTAAGAAATAAAAGAAAAAAAATAATCTTAATGCTTCAGTTTTATTAATTGGGCTGCAATGTATTATGTCACTGGTGGAAAAATCAAAGAAATCTAAAAAACATGCATGTAAGGAAATCAACTTTCGATATAAAAGAATGCAAAGTTAAACTGCTTAATGTGTAAAAATACCATTTTTAATCTAAAAATGTAGGTTAAAACAAAGATGATTAAGCCAGTTCCTGGTTTAACCTATAAAAGTAACTGGTTGGATGTTAAGTAAAAATCTTGAATTTAAGAAAACAAATTTATGAACCTAGGAGGCTCTCCCCAGCCAATTCCTCTGTGACCCTGAGGAGCTTGATCCTGACCATAATCTCACAGTTGGCCGGTACCCTGGATTTAAATAATTAATCAGAGAATCATATACTTTTGTTAACACAAATTCGAAAATATAAGGAAGACGATTTTTCCGACTCAAATGCCGTAGCCTTTTCTCTAGATGTGTGTGTACACAAGATCCATTTCCGCCATGAAGCCCACACATGTAACCCTCGCTCCGTCTTTCCCCGCCTCACCCCTCTATAACACATCCCAGCTCAGTCAGGTTAGGAAAGTTGAGCTAGTAACAGCTCCGACACAGGGAGCCTCTTGACTCCTTCATGCTGACGATGCAGATACTGAGCTGGCAGCAGGCGTGCTTATACCTCTGATCTCCCTATTAACTTCTTGAGAAGCTTAGTTAGGAAACTTGTGCACGGCTCTGACCGAAGTTTCCTCTATCTCGAGTTGCATTGCCTTAGTTCCATTGATAAGCCCTGTTATCCCAGTTCCTGTTGATCTTCTCCACCAACATGAAGCTCTACAACACTCCCATGAAGTACCATCAAATATCCATCATTAATTCCTTTGTTAATTTCTAAATCAACCAATTTTAACTCCGCTTTAAATGCAAAATTATTATTATTATTATTAT